TATTTATAGAATGTTTCTGTATCACCGTGATATTTGTGGAATATTTCTGTATAACCATGATATTTGTGGAATGTTTCTGCATCACCGTGATATTTGTGGAATGTTTCTGTATAAACGTGATATTTGTGGAATGTTTTTTGCATCACCATGATATTTGTGGAATGTTTTTGCATCACCGTGATATTTGTGGAATGTTTTTGCATCACCGTGATATTTGTGGGTTATTTCTGTATCACCAGGATATTTGTGGAATGTTTCTGTATCACCGTGATATTTGTGGAATGTTTTTGTATCATTGTGATATTTGTGGAATGTTTCTGTATCATTGTGATATTTGTGGAAGGTTTCTGTATCATTGTGATATTTGTGGAATGTTTCTGTATCATTGTGATATTTGTGGAATATTTCTGTATCACCGTGATATTTGTGGAATGTTTCTGTATCACCGTGATATTTCAGGAATAGTTTTGCAACACCATGATAATTGCTGAAAAATGTGTAGTTAATATGATATTTGTTGAATAAATGTTTGACAAATCTTAACAACAATTGCATGTGACCACCATTTAATATCATTTTGTTTTTCATGATTACGAAAACCAAACCAAGACCTTCACTACCAGAACTATATCATCAATGTGCATTGTGATGGGTGGCCGAGCCACATAGATCTCCTTGATCGTAAACTGTTCATCATTAGTTGCTTAGTGCGGTGACCAAACACTCCCATCCATATTCATATTATTGCATGTCAATCTTGTTGCATATGCCATCCAATTAGCTGACCGTCATGATTTGATAGACTAGTTTTAAACAGCCTCTGGATAGCCTTACTGCCAGTTTAGTATAGAGATGGATAGTTAATAGGTTGTCCCATTCCTTATAAATCACAATCAGATATGTCGCATGCTCGACGCCATGTCGAGCTATTTTTCGATTACTTTTCACTTACCAACGCTACTGTATCATCTGTCGGAGGTCCTGCTTACAAATGAATTATCGATAACTGGAACCGTAGATTTTTCTCAATCTTTGTACTGCTTCTCCCTCTCTATCCTCTCGCCAACATCAGAGAACCTTCAGAATTACATTTACGACAGTAGCTATCGGTATCAATTATATTTTAGTTGGTTTTCAAGCAACGTGTAAGAAAAAAACCCATTAAAATTACACAACAGACCGGCAATATACCATATTTTAAACTTTGGTTACACAAATAATTCTTTCTCATCACAAATATATATTAATATATCGATACGAAGTTGGTAGATCCACCTGTCTTGCGGTAATAAATTCAATAATCATTTATTGATTTTTTTTTCTCATCCGGGTTCTACCTCGACTGTTGTCATCACCTTGCAGCCAATTGGCATTGACTTGTAGCATTCGTCAGTAAATAGTAATAAACATCATACGGACTTGTTCGCACATAAAACCCGCCATATTGACTTGAGCAATATTCCCGGACAAGTGACCTGAGCATAATGTAATGACGCTGAAATAAAATATTAGAATTCGTTTCATGTTCTCTGATTTGCAGACTAAAGTCACGTGCGATAAGTTTTAATCCATAAAAGAACACAGCAGGGATTTGTTTGTTTGTTCAAGTATCCCAGGTCTGCTAACAGTCTAATTAATTTACAAGTGAGGCGAGAGCTTAAATATGACCTCGTTATGAGTAGCATGGGGGTAATTTTCATCAGGGTTCATCATTGCGTCGTGAAAATAATCATACTACGCTAAGAGAACTCACAGTCTTTGAGGCCTAAATTTGAACTTTTTTCCCTTAAATTCATATCATAATTTTGAAAATGGCCTTCTTCTCGCAAGAAATTGTACAGAAATATTATGAGGATTTTCACGCGATCTTATGATGTTGGCCGTTTTCAAAGTGATCATGGATATGGTTTTATTAAAAAAAACGGGTGGCTATTTGGCTTTTTTACATCGTTGTGTGAGATATGAAGACTGCACTATTGAAAATGCCATCAACGTTAGCTAAATGCCAAACCATGGATGGGTCGCTGAAACTAGTTGTACGTGATTTTTAAGTAGTGCGAAAATGTGGTTTTCAGTCACAACACAAAGATTTATCGTGGATAAATAGATAGGATCACCTACCCGGTTGCATTACGCCTCAAATATGCACTATTTTATGGTGTCAAAATGTTTTAATTGTAGGGGGAAATACCCCCCAAACACACACACACAAAAAAAAAAACAAAAAAAAAAAAAAAAATACAAAAAACAAAAACAAAAACAACCACAAGCAAACAAAAATTATAACGCATCCATGTAGTATCAAATTCCCGGCTCATCCTGTTTCCTTTCTGCTATCCGACTTTGCAACCAACTTAACCTTGAAATTAGACGTTGTGTTTCTTACTCAATCTTTTAAAGTGTCTTTAAATACCCACACTAGTCCCATATTATCATCTGGTCTATATTCGAAAAGCGTAAAAACTGCAAGCTAGGTTAAGAAATAAATCTAGTACTTCAAGAAATGACATTTTTCAGATCCAATTTAATAGATCACCCTGCCTTACTGCCAATTCGGACATCCCGTTAAAGATCCTTATTACTGCTTAATTGCTCGTAAGAATTATGCGAATCAAAGGGTATTATTTTAAAATCTATATAAAGAACCAGTTACTATTACACGGTAGTAATAACTTCTCTCTATTTTCACCGACCCCCTCCCCCACCTCCTCCCACAACATAAAACAATAATATGAAAATAGACTCGTGGGCTTGCCATGAGATGTCAAATATGTATCTTATCACAAAATATTCCGAACTGCTGTAAAATCCGATTATTGTACTAGGTAATCGATGTGTCGACTTAATGTTACAACGTAACATAAAGGGAGCTAACTCCTGTAGCCTTGGCTTTGACTCGCTAGGAGTTATTCACCCGTGTGACTATCGAACGAAATAATGCCTTTCTTTCAAATTGAGATAAAGATCAAGATATAAGACCATTGGTTATTTTACAGTTAAAACCACAGACTTAGATCGATATCAGTGCTCAAACACACGTGACTTCGGTTGGTATTTTGGAGGCGGGGCTTAGACGCGTCTTGTTGTCAATGTTGTCAAGGTTTGAGACCCAAAGGTAAGTTATCTGCGTCTTATTTTAAATATTGTCAAAGGTTGAGACCCAAGGGTAAGCAAAAAGATGTATTACTATTCTTAAATTTCCTTCAGTCAGGAAAATGATATTTGCTGTGTACACTTACGAAACAAATACTAGATATTTACATGTATGTTGAAAATATAGGGACTTCGACCTGTAGTGGGTATGTTCTTGGTGTAAGTTATTTTCTTAACGATAGAATTCTCAGGAGTAAGTTAATCAAGATATACAAATAACCTTTACAAATATATAAACTTGTATATATTTTAAGAAGATATGCGTTAAACTCGCAGAAATACTGCTACTACTTTCACTTTCGGTACTGTTTCGGGAATTGTAATTCATTATTTCTTTAAAGGAGGAAGTAAATAAAATGTCGGTTGCCCGGAGACATTTGGCAATTTTAGATCTCAAATTATAAATCTAAAATGTTTAAAATATGAAACCAAACATACCTCCTCAACCTCGGGATGAAAACTTTTTTGGAGAGTCCAAAAGATATAAATGTTTTACTTAAAATCCTGGTAAATTTGCAATTATCCTAACAAAGGACATGAGATATTGATAAGTAAACAAGACATGTCATGAAAAATATATTCCTACATTTACATATATAATTATAAACTACATATCAATTGAAATAGATAATAAGTATAAATAGCAAATCCCGTGATTTTTAACTTATGAAAGTTATAAAATTAAAGAAAAAAATCATTTTATGTACCTGATTTCAACCCAACATTACACCTGTGCATTCAGAATTCATATCCTGAATGATTGTCTGAAACTTCTGAACACTTGTCTATAAATGTACGACTTTGTCAAGATAACAAAGCTCTCACGTTTCGGCAAATTGCAACTCCAAATAGCAGTGCGACATGAACGCATATTGACACCGAGAAAATACCACTTCCTGTAAAGTTAAAATGTTACAAAAGACACACAGGCACATATAAACAACTTCAGACAGATAAAGTCAAGCCACCGATCCAACTGCATCCTACAGCTCACTGTTTCCTTCCTCTAGGACTCGTCAGTGATGCTAAGGGCCTCAATTTTGAAGCCTTGGAGGCGACTGAGGAAAAATCCAAAATGACCGAGAAAAAAAAGTCAAAATCTAGACGAGAAGGTGCACTTTCCTCATGAAAAGATACATTCTCTAATTTCCATATATCTTGTAAAACAAGTGTACAAGTACATTTTAATACTAGTGTTTTGGTTTATACTTAATATTGAAATAACAACCCACATATTAATTTCCGTAACCGTTAAAAATCCAAACAAACAAAAAAATCGGAAAAGTTGAAGCTCTACATTGTAAATTTCACCATGCTTATACTTTTTTTTAGCATTTAGTGTTATAGAGGCCTAAAGCTGTCTAACTGTGTCCTGCTCTCTAGAATACATATTAGCGTGGGTTTTTTTCAAAGCAACGTAAAACAACATTTAAAGATATCTTTTTTTAAAAAAAAATTCAAACAAGGAATGAATTCTTTAAATATTGTATTAACTCTAAGTCTATATTAGGGTTAGATTCTGAATATGAAATGGGTATGATGCATGAACACAACAATAGCAATATAGCTTTCCAATTCCTGTAATTATTCGTGTTAAGCAATATGTTGACACTTTTTCGCCATGGAAACATGGCGCCAAAATATGAGAGTTTATTGCAGTTTTTTACGCTGTATTGTTAGGGATGCACGAATTAAGTATTGCGCTAATGTCTTATTTCGACAAGTTAAGTATGTTCTTGTATTATTATTTATTTATTGTTGTTATTTTCTTGTCACACAGAAATATCCAAGATCCTCTGGGAGTTATCTCCCTGTAACCTGCATCACTGTTACACCTTTGAAGAACCATGGCAACAGCATCTGAACTCTCGAGTATGAAAGGGCAAATTGTTGTCAGAGCCAAAGGCCATGATAAATGTCCTAGTCATAGGGACAACCAAGTTGTATTTCTGTGTCAGGACTGTAACATCCTGATTTGTCCCAGCTGTTCCATCACGACACACAAGGCACACTTTGACAGTTTCATCGAAATTTCAAAAACTACCCAACAAAACAAAAACAGAATTAGGGACTTTATCAATTCGACAGAGAATTTGGACATTCCGAAACTCAAAGAAGAAATTAAGACAGCAAAAGAACATCATTCAACGTATAAACCCAAATACAAAAACATTCGTGACACGATAAAGGAATATCGAGATATCGCCCGAAAGGTGATAGACGAGATAACTGAAAATCACTTGGCTTTTTGTGACGAGATGGAGTTGGTGGACACAGAACTACTTCAGACACACATCACAAACCTTGAGAGGAGACTGGACAATTTGGTTACACTCTCACTGGAGTGTAAAGAGACCCTCCAAAGAGGCAATGGTGTACTAGTGTACGACTCGGCAACAGAAATCCAGAATACAGACTTGGAAATCCCCCAGAGACCAAACATACGTACAGAGTTTACTCCATGTAAGGACAGACGAAATCACCTGAAGGAGGCCATGGGGGTGATTCAGGCTCGTACTGACCATCAGGCAGCATCAGCAGCTGGTGGTCCCTCCAACCAAGGTCCATTAGTACGTAATAAACAGTCTTCCGAGATGGATCAATTGTCCACTGGAACAGTCCAGTACAAACTTTGTGACAGACCAACTGTTGTTTCCGTGTTCTCATACAGGGCTGGTAACCCATTAATCTGCCCCACACCTGTTGGACGTGCCTGGTTGTGTGATTATAACACCAGTACACTAAACCTCATTAACAACAAAGGGGAAGTCCTACAGGAGATACAACACAACAATAACATCACAGACATCAGTCTGGACCCCATCACAGGTTGTCTGTGGTTCTGTTGTTTCGAGGAGAGGACTGTCAATGAAGTATCAACATCATCTACACCTGTCAGAAGATTTACTACACAGTATTACCCACACAAACTGTCTGTGACCAGTGAGGGACGGGTTGTGGTGGGTACAGGGGGAAGACAGGGGTACAAGGTAGTGATATACACAACAGGTGGTCAGGTGTTACATACAGTCATTGTAGAGAGGTCAGAGTTGGGTGGGGTACTATCCATCACACAGTGTCCTGTTACAGGTAACATAGCTATAGTAAGTAAGAAACTAATCGATGGAGAATACAGTGATCCAAACAACTTCAGGCGTCACGTCATTGTGTATAACCCAACACTCCAGCCTCTGATCCACTACCGTGGGGAGGGGATACAGGCACGGGAGGCGGTCACACCTGACAAGTTTGGTCCGATCAGAGTGGTATACGACAGTAAGGGTAATATTGTTATTTCTGACTGGAAACGGAAAACAATAGAACTAATAACTGGAGATGGGAAGTACATAAAAACACTCCACACAAACAAAGGACAACAAGGAGAAGTAGGTATACAGAGTGATGATGTGTTGTGGTCCCACTTAGAGTTAGATACTGGAAAGTGGGGACTCAAACTCCTCGAGTATTATAGTGACCGAGGGAGTAGAACTTGGGTGATGAGTCAGTTTAAATCGATGGACTTCATTGAATTAGTATAAACTTTACAGTTTGATATGATCATTGTCTGTCATATTCTAAAGATGGAATACCACTTTGTATACAATTGTTAATGACAGAAAGAAAAATATTGAAATTGCGTTTTTTTTTTTTTTTTTTTAATTTCGTTTTAACTGACTTTTCAAATAAGAACTATAACAGTGTGCTCTCATGAGATATATTGCACATGAAACGGATTTACTTGTCCTGGAATATTATTCCAAATTAGTTTGTATTTTTGTATCCATTCATAAACGTCATAAAAACCTGAATCAGCGTCTCTACATGAAATATATGTCAAGGTCAAATTCTGTGACTAATTATTTGTAATTTGTAAATATTGTCATAAAATAAAATAAAAAATGCTACATTGTTTATTGATGTTTGACTTTGTCATTTCAATTACTCTATAAAAAAGTTTGTGATCAATCTTGAATCGGCAGCGGAAATGTGAACAAATACATGTACGGGACCTTTTTGTCCTCTGTACTACTGAAACATTTCCTGGCAAAACTGAAGCCACACTTACGTCTTAAGTTCACAACATTATTACACCGCCGGTAGGGTAATTAGAGTCATGATTAATTGTACAGGTGTAAAACTATGAACGCTAATAATACAACGAACTTAAATACATAGTGAAATCCATTATATTACCTTGATATTTTAGCTGACAAAATTCTATTAAAAAAGAAAATCATTTTTGCCAGAAAAAAAAGATAAAATTTAAAGTTCGCCTAAATGTTTATATCTAGCAATCGCGAAAACGAATATTCGAATTTCATTCTCCTTTTTTAAATTCCGTAGTGTTTGTGCATATGGAAGAGTTCTCTATAAATACACAAGCAAACAAACAAAACATGAAGGTGAATATCTGTGTGGTATCAAATTTCGACGTCAGCTATCCTGTTTTCCTTCTGCTATAACTTACTAAAGAATTGAATTGACCTTGAAATTGGACAAAGTGTTTCTTTTTCTACTTTCTCGTCAGCATATCACATTACCTAGATAGCGGGGAGAACGCAGAAAAAAAAACCCAAAAAAACGTGTGCGCCATCTTACCACCGCCTGATGATAATGCTGCTGATGATGATGATAATGCTGCTGCTGCTGATGATGATGATGATAATAATGCTGCTATGATGATGATAATGCTGATGATAATGCTGCTGATGATGATAATAATGATAATGCTGCTGATGATGATAATAATGATGCTATGATGATAATAATGATGATGATAATGCTGCTGCTGATGATGATTATGATGATGAGGATGATGTTAATGATGATGATAATGCTGCTGCTGCTGCTGATGATGATGATGATAAATGCTGCTGCTGATGATGATGATGAGGATGATGTTAATGATGATGATAATGCTGCTGCTGCTGCTGCTGCTGCTGCTGATGATGATGATGATGAATATGATGATGAATATGATGATGATGATGATGATGATGATGATGATGATGATAATGCTGCTGCTGTTGATGATGATTATGATGATAATGGTGATGAGGAGGATGATGTTGATGATGATGATAATGCTGCTGATGCTGCAGCTACTACTGATGACGATGATGATAATGCTGCTGATGATGCATTGATGTCTAGAAGAAGACAAATGATAATTTCTCAATACTCAATCTCACAAGTTAATACATTGTAGGATAGTGAATAACTACTTGTACGAGTCAATGTGTGTCTTGATACTATTGCGTGAATTCATTTCAGTCTAAACCTTTATACAATGTTTCTGTGTAAGAGTGAGCGAGTCCTGAATGATGAGGTGTAATACTTCAAATACATGCAAATATATTTTATTAACAAGTAGATTTGGCACAAGTTCTTACAACTTTCTAGGCCCTCTCCGAACATATCTACTTACAAAAACTATAAATAACAATTAACTAGACCCTCTCCCAACTTTACTATTTACAAAAACTATAGATGATAATTTACTAGGCCCTCTCCGAATATTATTGTTGACAAAAAAAACTATAGATAACAAATTACTGGGACTCTCCCAACATTACTGTTTACAAAAACTATAGATAACAAATTACTAGGCCCTCTCCCAATATTATTGTTGATAAAAACTATAACAAGTTACTAAAGGCCCTCTCCCAACATTACTGTTTACAAAAACTATAGATAACAAATTACTAGGCCCTCTCCCAATATTATTGTTGATAAAAACTATAACAAGTTACTAGGCCCTCTCCCAACATTACTGTTTAAAAAAACTATAAATAACAATTAACTAGGCCCTCTCCCAACTTTACTGTTTACAGAAACTATACATAAAAAACTTACTAGGCCCTCTTCCAACTTTACTGTTTACAAAAACTATAGGTAACCCTACTAACTTTACTGTTCACAGATAACAAGTTACTAGGCCCTCTCCTAACATATCTGTTTACAAAAACTATACCTAAAACCTTACTATGCCCTCTCCCAATGTTATTGTTGATAAAAACTATAGATAAATTCGTGGTTTGTTGTTCCATAATGCATCCAGTAAGTATTCACTTGTACATTGGATGTATAAATATGAATTCTTTTGATTTTAAACATTGATCATATATCTATTCCAGTAATACGCATCCAACGAACATTTGCTTGTTAGGATCCATTACCAATATTGGACCATACTGTCGATATTACTTTCTAGATTCTAACCTTCACATATATAATCCATTTTTAATGTAAAGCATTTTCGTGTTACTCAGTGCTCTTGTGGTGACTTTTTCACTAAAATGTCTATTTTTTGTTTGTTTTTGTTTCTTTGGACATGACGCAATTGCTTGCTGAACCAATTTCATAGAGTTATCGTTCTTGGGACATTTGTTAGTTCCGGTTTAGAGAATTACGAGTTGAAAAGCAAATAATTCATTATTTGTTGCAAAATGTGATACATATGACTCGTCAGAGCTAGAATGGCCAGTTTTGAATTGTTCGATGGAGATGCTATACCAGGGAGACGTCCAGACAATGTAATTATTGAAAGCAATTTATATTTATCATGTAACTCTTCCACAACGTGGAAAACTTGATTCAACAACAATGAAAGAGCGACTTAATAACGGGGATGCAGTGATAATGAATCTGGTATTAATCAGAAATGTAACCTTGGTTTCGTCTGATTCCTACACACCAAACGTGTAGAAGGGATGTTAGTACACTTGTCCGTCAAAATGTGTGATGTGTTGTGGTCAGAGGTGGGGAGTGAACATTTGTGTAGGCCTACTCCAAACTTCCTTTACTACGAAGGATCATCAGGCTTGTTATTTGCTTTTATTCTGAAAGTATATTTTGAAAACAAAACACTTAGTGAGATACGAATGTAAGCACCGATATCGTAAAGTAAATTATTTTGTGACATACTTGTCAACTTTCCTGATACAGACGCGAGTTTCATAAAAATTTTCCCTTCTACTTCATTTTCCGTATCTCTCAATCATATTGGTCAAAAATGGGATAATCTTTCAGTTTTTAGAACTACCGCTAGTTAGGTCACAAAATAACCTTGCTATATTTATCAAATAGTGTAGACACGTGTGAGTTCAACCAGCAAGGCTGTTGTTTGAGGTTAGTGTTTGCCATGCTTGATTTAGCAGACTTTTGTCAAGTCATGTGCAACTGTGTTCTTAGTGTCTTTATCTGTTCATTTAACACTTGACCCCATAATGAAAATTTGGAATGTATCTAATTGATGTGTGGCATCAATATTATTTACATACATCCTAATGGAAATTGCACATTTTTGTGAAGGTGAGTTGTTATCATTTTTTCTCAAATAGAACTACATGAGTTCTTGTGCTCTTGTTCAGTGTTAGTATGTCTCAATCGCAGAGAAAAAGTTTCCTTTCAGAATCTGCCGGCAACACAATCAGCAGATTTAGAATAGAATGAACAAATGAGAATGAATTTGAAAGTATTTTGGCAAGCGCCATTGAACCTGGACATGCTTTTCATTTGACAGATACAGCCTCTTTCCAAATCTGAGCAAGCTGGCCAAATAGGGGGGAAAGGTGACTTATACTCTCAACTTACGTATTTTACAATCTCTCCTTTAGAAAGTCTTCAGACTTTAAAGACTATTTACTGTGTTCAAGGAAGCTGTTAAATCTCCCATATCTTCTTTCCTTGGAGTGGTAAACAGTACCAAGTCTGTAATAGGATGGAGTAAAGGAAAACACCATGTCCATCTAATGATCCATTGGTCTGACACACTACCACACAATAATAATGGAACTGGAAGATAGTATACCTTAATTACAATCTCTCCTTATCTGTAAATATTGTAACAGGGCCCTGTGCTCTACCACTGGGCTAAAGGGAAAATCCCACTAGCTGAGACTATAAGGTGACTTGTTCTCGAACTTTTAGCCTATCAAATCTTCATGATGCTGGCCATTTGGAATTCATATTCAAGTCCCAGGTTAACACACATATTATATATTTATATCAAGTTTCACATGTATATAAAGAGGTAAATTCACCTTTTCACTCTTTAGAATTTTGACATTTTGCATGCCAGATGATTGATGTGTAGTGTGTTAGATCTGTTTCTATCAGCATGTGTGGCAACAGAAATCTGAACCAATGTATAGGCCATCGCTCCTTAAACAAGCAATTGAAATAATTGATACATATATATATATATATAGTGATTTTAAATGAGGTTATTTTTGTTTCTCTCACACACTGATTTTGACTTTTTTTTTTCAGAATTATGTTGAGACAACATTTGGCACCATCAATGGTCTTTCTCCTGTTACCACAGTTAATAGTCCTGCAGGTAATTAGTAAATAATCATCATTTTATATTAATCTTGTGAAATACCATTTAGTTGGTTATTTTCACAGGTAAAAAAAGTCACAGCGGAGAGACTTTAATTTTCATGAATTAAAATGCAGTAAATTTTCTGGTTTCAAATACGTAATTGCTGATTCATCGGTCAGCCATGAATATGATTCATATTGATGATATTAATTGATACAGTATTCTGCATCTTTTAACAAATAATTCGTATCGCATGTCATTTAATCTGTTCGGTCAGTTGTAATTGTCGAAATACTCACGGTTTACTGGAGAGTCAATCAGCTGGTAACGGTACCTATATGACAATAGACTTTAGTCATAATTTTATTACCTTATAGCTGGTAATCTATAGTGGGTCAAAACTTTCGTGATTTTCTTTAAAAACAATCAAATTGTATTTAAACGAATTGAAATTTAGTAACCTGAATGTATAAGGATATCTATTATATGTGTGCCTCTATATTTCAAGGATTGAATTTTTGAGATTACATTTGATGAACTGCAAAATTACAAAAATAATGCTTGTTTTTTTTCTTTTTTTTTTTTTAATATTTACTCATATTTCCATAAAGTGAAGACTGAATTTGTGTTTTCAATTTGTACGTAAACGATACTTGTTTGGTTTTTGAAGAAAGCGACAAATATGATTCAGCCATCACCCGAGGAACATCTGGAGGCGTTTCCAGTCCTTCCTTTCAGGTAACAAAGTTCAAACAGTGTATAAGTGTGAAAAAATGATTGAACAGCTTCAGCATTTTAAATATACATTATGGTACAAATCATAATTAGTTACAAGTGGTTTTGGTTATTGAATGTGTTTTGTTTAGTACATCAGCTCTGTAGTAAAGAGGATATCAGCATACTGTAAAATCATCTATTTTTCGTGGTAGTTTTATTTCCTCAATTTTAATTAGTACTCTAAATCCATGAAATGATAAATATTTTGATATACAAATTATCTTTGTGCTAGAGGATTTTCTTAAAACTATTCATCCACAAAACCATATTTCAGGGTAGTTGTTTTTATGGAAAACCACAAAAATTGAACTCGACAAAATCTTATTTAATTACAGTGTTAGAAATGACTTTTTGTGTTGTATTTAGTTTTGGATTGATCTATCAGTAAAATTTAGAAGCCAGCTGTACAGTTGGGAAATTTCCAGAATTTTTTAGTATGTGTGAAATGTAAGATGGATATTCCTATGTAAAATTAAAAGAAAATGGAAAAAAAGTTAAAAGAATCATTTTTAGTTTTAAGAGGTCCAGGGCCTATTTGCCCTGTCCAGGCTTATCACTGGTCATATGGTGCTGCATGTTTCTATCTTTGGTTGAAGTCACAGGATAAATATTTTGAGATTTTGATACCATATAGATCAGATGAAAATGTACTCAGTCACCTAGATTATTTTTCATCCACTCCACCGCAGTTAAGAGACCCTGATCTGACCAATCTCTGTCCTGTCACCTAATTTTACCTGTACAGACAGGTAAACTCAACATAAGACTAACATGGTGATGTTGAGTGAAGTGAAATTAGAGACTCTTTAAAACAGAAGTTCTTATAAAACAACCAGTAGAAAATTTAAGTGTAACGTTTCAATGACTACACGGTCACCTTCATCAGACAAATGACCAGTGTGAAGCATACAAACACTGACTTTTGTAGTGTACAAGATAGTAGGGTATTGACCAACACTTTTAGCTATAAACTTATGTACACTAAGGTCTGAAATAGTGTTAAGAGATGGTAAATAGATTATATGTACTACAGTTTCATTTTAACCATCTTGTGTACTTTTCTATAATCTGTTTACCATCTTCACACTATTTTTTACCTTCTTTTGCTTAAAATTATAGTACATCCGAAGACATCATCTCGTACACTGTGTACTTCAGTGCTAATACGCTCAACACAGGTCAGTTGTCTGATTAAGGTGACGGTGTAGTCATCGAAACGTCACTCTCTAATCTTCTACTGTTGTGTTATAAAAACTTCTATTCTATTGACATCACCAACCTGAACAAAATGTCCCAAACTATAGATAAGAGACTCCTTTGATAAGCAAGTACTTTACGCTGTAGCAGGGATTTACATGTCTTGGTATCCAACCAATGCAATTTCTTCCAGAATGTGTTTGATAACCTTCTAATGACACATCTGTAAAATAAAACGACTTATAATGAAATAACATTCTTGATAAAAACCTTCATAGGACACATTATGTAATAAAACCTGTCAACATAATTAGTCCCAGGATGAATAAGATAAGGATGTTATATTCAGTCCCAGGATGAATGACATAAGGATGTTATATTCAGTCCCTGGATGAATGAGATAAGGATGTTATATTCAGTCCCTGGATGAATGAGATAAGGATGTTATATTCAGTCCCTGGATGAATGAGATAAGGATGTTATATTCAGTCCCTGGATGAATGAGATAAGGATGTTATATTCAGTCAATGGATGAATGAGATGCAGGATGTTATATTCAGTCCAAAACTGGATGAATGAGATAAGGATGTTATATTCAGTCCCTGGATGAATAAGATAAGGATGTTATATTCAGTCCCTGGATGAGATAAACAAAAAGGATGTTTATTCAGTCCAAGTTTATACAAAAAGTGACCTAATTTATTTCAAATCAAATTAATGAAAAAGGATGTAATATTCAGTCCCATGATGAATGAAATTAAGGGTACAAAAAGTGACCTAATGAATGAAACAAGGTTGTTATATTCAAAAAGTGGATGAATTTAGAAAGGATGTTATATTTAGTACAAAAATGAGACTAATTTATTGAAATCCCTGGATACAAAAAGTGATAATTTATTTAAACCAAATTAATACAAAAAGTGACCTAATTTATTGAAACCAAGTTTATACAAAAAGTGACCTAATTTATTGAAACAAAATTAATACAAAAAGTGACCTAATTTATTGAAACCAAATTAATACAAAAAATGACCTAATTTATTGAAACCAAATTAATACAAAAAGTGACCTAATTCATTGAAATCAAATCAATACAAAAAGTGACCTAATTTATTGAAACCAAGTTTATACAAAAAGTGACCTAATTTATTGATTAGAGAGGTGTATTTACTAATAATGAAAAACCTTATTCATTTATCAGTTCTTTTCCTGGCCATTTTGGGAAGATGTAACCTAGCTAGAGGGCATTGGGATTTGTATGGCAAAACTGGAAAATTAGGAAATTCATAATGGAGAAAGTTGGCTGGAATTTACTGTCCTCACATAAAAATAACGATACAAGATTTCACAATTTCAGGTGTTTTGAGAAAGTTGTTTAGAAAAATAAACATACAGTTCGGATAGGGGCCTAGATGTGACACAAATTTAGGAAATAATCCACAACATTATATACGGCATGATATTAATGCATTCACAAAAGCGTATAGTGAATAATTAAAACCATTCCTTCTGTAGCCTAGGTCTTCCTCTGTTACTGTTAATGTACTCCATTGTGTTGTTGCTGGTGTTATCTGTATATTCCATCCCAAGTTTGTTTATTGTGTACACACTATGAAACCTGACGAATAAACAATGTAAAAGTGAAAGTGATGGTATCATTGTCTTCATTCCATCTACCTGTCAGTACAGACAATTACAATTATTTGGTCCTGATTTATAAATATCTTGTACAGAATTAAAACATGTCAGGCATTGATCAGTACAGATAGATGTTTGTCTTCAAAAACAATTGTGTTGATCTGTAAAGATAGATATAGGACAGGTGTTAGTCATTAAAGATATGTGTAGGAAAGGTGTTGGTCAGTAAAGACAGGTGTAGGATAGGTGTTGGTCAGTAAAGACAGGTGTAGGATAGGTGTTGGTCAGTAAAGACAGGTGTAGGATAGGTGTTGGTCAGTAAAGACAGATGTAGGAAAGGTGTTGGTCAGTAAAGACAGGTGTAGGAAAGGTGTTGGTCAGTAAAGTCAGGTGTAGGAAAGGTGTTGGTCAGTAAAGACAGGTATAGAATAGGTGTTGGTTGGTAAAGACAGGTATAGAATAGGTGTTGGTCAGTAAAGACAGGTGTAGGACAGGTGTTAGTCAGTAAAGACAGGTATAGAATAGGTATTAGTCAGTAAAGATATGTGTAGGACCGGTGTTAGTCAGTAAAGACAGGTATAGAATAGGTATTAGTCAGTAAAGATATGTGTAGGACAGGTGTTAGTCAGTAAAGACAGGTATAGAATAGGTATTAGTCAGTAAAGACAGGTGTAGGAAAGGTGTTGGTCAGTAAAGACAGGTATAGGATAGGTGTTGGTCAGTAAAGACAGGTGTAGGATAGGTGTTGGTCAGTAAAGACAGATGTAGGAAAGGTGTTGGTCAGTAAAGACATGTGTAGGAAAGGTGTTGGTCAGTAAAGACAGGTGTAGGAAAGGTGTTGGTCAGTAAAGACAGGTATAGAATAGGTGTTGGTTGGTAAAGACAGGTATAGAATAGGTGTTGGTCAGTAAAGACAGGTGTAGGACAGGTGTTAGTCAGTAAAGACAGGTATAGAATAGGTATTAGTCAGTAAAGATATGTGTAGGACAGGTGTTAGTCAGTAAAGACAGGTATAGAATAGGTATTAGTCAGTAAAGACAGGTGTAGGAAAGGTGTTGGTCAGTAAAGACAGGTATAGGATAGGTGTTGGTCAGTAAAGACAGGTGTAGGATAGGTGTTGGTCAGTAAAGACAGATGTAGGAAAGGTGTTGGTCAGTAAAGACAGGTGTAGGAAAGGTGTTGGTCAGTAAAGACAGGTGTAGGAAAGGTGTTGGTCAGTAAAGACAGGTATAAAATAGGTGTTGGTTGGTAAAGACAGGTATAGAATAGGTGTTGGTCAGTAAAGACAGGTGTAGGACAGGTGTTAGTCAGTAAAGACAGGTATAGAATAGGTATTAGTCAGTAAAGATATGTGTAGGACCGGTGTTAGTCAGTAAAGACAGGTATAGAATAGGTATTAGTCAGTAAAGATATGTGTAGGACAGGTGTTAGTCAGTAAAGACAGGTATAGAATAGGTATTAGTCAGTAAAGACAGGTGTAGGAAAGGTGTTGGTCAGTAAAGACAGGTATAGGATAGGTGTTGGTCAGTAAAGACAGGTGTAGGATAGGTGTTGGTCAGTAAAGACAGATGTAGGAAAGGTGTTGGTCAGTAAAGGCAGATGTAGGAAAGGTGTTGGTGAGTAAAGACAGGTGTAGGAAAGGTGTTGGTCAGTAAAGACATGTGTAGGATAGGTGCTGGTCAGTAAAGACATGTGTAGGATAGGTGCTGGTCAGTAAAGACAGGTGTAGGATAGGTTCTGGTCAGTAAAGACAGGTGTAGGATAGGTGTTGGTCAGTAAAGACATGTGTAGGATAGGTGTTGGTCAGTAAAGACAGATGTAGGAAAGGTGTTGGTCAGTAAAGACAGGTGTAGGAAAGGTGTTGGTCAGTAAAGACATGTGTAGGATAGGTGCTGGTCAGTAAAGACAGGTGTAGGATAGGTTCTGGTCAGTAAAGACAGGTGTAGGAAAGGTGTTGGTCAGTAAAGACAGGTATAGGATAGGTGTTGGTCAGTAAAGACAGGTGTAGGATAGGTGTTGGTCAGTAAAGACAGATGTAGGAAAGGTGTTGGTCAGTAAAGGCAGATGTAGGAAAGGTGTTGGTCAGTAAAGACAGGTGAAGGAAAGGTGTTGGTCAGTAAAGACATGTGTAGGATAGGTGCTGGTCAGTAAAGACATGTATAGGATAGGTGCTGGTCAGTAAAGACAGGTGTAGGACAGGTGTTAGTCAGTAAAGACAGGTATAGAATAGGTATTAGTCAGTAAAGATATGTGTAGGACAGGTGTTAGTCAGTAAAGACAGGTATAGAATAGGTATTAGTCAGTAAAGACAGGTGTAGGAAAGGTGTTGGTCAGTAAAGACATGTGTAGGATAGGTGCTGGTCAGTAAAGACAGGTGTAGGATAGGTTCTGGTCAGTAAAGACAGGTGTAGGAAAGGTGTTGGTCAGTAAAGACAGGTATAGGATAGGTGTTGGTCAGTAAAGACAGGTGTAGGATAGGTGTTGGTCAGTAAAGACAGTTGTAGGAAAGGTGTTGGTCAGTAAAGGCAGATGTAGGAAAGGTGTTGGTCAGTAAAGACAGGTGAAGGAAAGGTGTTGGTCAGTAAAGACATGTGTAGGATAGGTGCTGGTCAGTAAAGACATGTATAGGATAGGTGCTGGTCAGTAAAGACAGGTGTAGGAAAGGTGTTGGTCAGTAAAGACATGTGTAGGATAGGTGTTGGTCAGTAAAGACATGTGTAGGATAGGTGTTGGTCAGTAAAGACAGGTGTAGGATAGGTGCTGGTCAGTAAAGACATGTGTAGGATAGGTGCTGGTCAGTAAAGACAGGTGTAGGAAAGATATCATTATATGTTAAGTGTCAGCAAAGAAATATCTTACTGTTGTTACAAAGTCAGATTTCTTCGCACCTTTTTGTTTCTCATGAATGTTCTCCTTACCTGTTCACCTTTAACCTTTTCACTCCTATTAATTCACCTGTGACCCTTCATCATCGTAATATTGTTAGATAATCCCTTTCATTTTGCATGTGTATACACATCATCTTTGTGGTGTACTTTATGTATATGTTACTGTTTTCCAGGGCACTGACAACATGTTAGTTGTACCCCACCAACATAAACGAACAAATTCCAATGTTTCTAGGATATCTGCCCTCAGTGCGGAAGAGGAGGTAACTCACACTTGCAAAAGAGCTGTAATTTGCCAACAAAATTGTATATTTATGTATCTGTTGCCAGTCTCAGTGAAGATGATGCTGATTCTGAAAGAGGATACACTTTACTATTGGTATCATATAAATGTACCATTGATTCAGAAGATTTAAATCTTCAAAAATTGAATGTGATCAAATTTTAATTGTGAGACTTTCACTTCATTTCAATTATGAATAAAGTGTAATCATATATTTTTGTGGGCATAAATTCTGCAGTCATCCAAAATCATAATTTTCATCAGTATTGGGTTTTTTGGCCGAATCTTGCTCACAAAGTCAGCTGGTACTATAATCCATGTCAGCTTTAATCCGTTTATTTTTTCGAGGACAAATAAATTTGTGTATTTAGAGCACCCACAAATTCAGCAAAGTTAATCCCCCTTGAAATTAAGTGATTTTATAGCATTGAAATTCAACCTTTTAGAGAAACGAATAAAAAGATTGAAAATAAGCAGTTATTATTATATTGAAGTGTGAAAGAAATTCAGAATGCAGCTGTTCCTTTTGGATGGTTTAACATAGAATGGGCAAATATTGGAGGGAAAATGATTAAGTGTTATTACTGTGCAGAATATATAATTGTAGTTTTGAGCTAAACTCATATAACTGTTTTGGCCCTTTACAGGTTGACAGTACAACTAATCACATTAATAATTCATTACTAACGTCAACAGTGTTACTTTCATTTTTACTATTTTGTATGACTCATTTTGATTGATTTCATTGTGTGTGTTTAGTCTTCTTAAGATATTAAAACACTAGCATTTGGAACAATATGGTTATCATATTTTATCGAAGCTTTCATACTAATAAGTTCAAAAGTAAAATTGACGGTACAGTTGTATTCTGAAATCTAGGTAAGATTATACAGATATGATGAAAGACAAAAACCTCGATGATTTACAAGAATATATACTTTTAAAGAAGCAAAGTTTATACGCCTCCTCAATCACTGGTGAGATGAAAACAGTAATATATATGAGAATTTATCAACAGATTTCACTCAAATTACCCGTTAGTGTAGTTACCCCTTAATTTTGCTCCTAATCAGGTGAAAATGTTCATCAGCCAAAAAGTTAAACCCTAAAACATTATATTTGTCAACTTAAACAAATGTAAGACGTTTTTGCCCTTTATGCTATAATCACTAACTAAAACTGTACTGGGTATTTCCACAATACCCACTATCCTGCAGCTCTCTCTTTACAAATACTAACACAGTGAAATGTATAATTTGTTTTTTTTTTTGTTTTTTTTTGTTTTTTTTTTGTGTTTTCATTATTATATTATGTTATCTTTTTATGTGTGTAAAAAAAATTATATTCATTTATATAGGTACAAATTTTCTGTTTTGGTATCTTATCACCGGTCAAAAATTTATTATCAGAGCATTGCATGGTTGCAGGTTTGATTCCGAACGGACGAAAAATATTACTAACTGACTTTGATTACACTACTAATTAAGACCAGTACATAATATTAATATTATAAATGAAATACAATGACGTAAGAACATACATGTTTTAGAGGTAACCTTAATTCAGTGCCTTTTTGCGCTAAAAATATTGCGATAAGACATAACTACAGTAATTACAGAGTTTCTGTTTCTGTTTCTGTTTCATAGCAATAATCATAGATGGGCATATTCAGAATTGTGTTTATCTTAAAAAAACAATAATAATAATGATACATTAAGATTTGATTTCACTCACTTGAATACGTTTGAAGTATACAGAAGCTTTCTAGCCTTTCCCTGTCTTAATTTCGTACTGCAATGCAATTCCTAACCAGTATTTAATGGCGAAATATACCATCAGTTTTGTTTCTTTAAAACATTTTCAAAGCAATGTTAATCTAGCCACTGAAAATATTCGGGAGTGTATGTACAAACAGTGACAATGTTAATGGTAGATCATTGAATTGGTAAGTTTGTTATTTTCCAGGTTTCAAATTTTCCTATCTCCAGCAAACATTTAAGACTAAATGTGTGTTTTTATCACAGAAGTCATATACAAAAAGACTTTGATTTTCTACATCAATATCAGTTTGTATTTTTGTTTCCATATTTTATAATGTAGAATAGAAAAAAAATGAATCCTTCAAAATAATAGTGTTTGCAGTATACTGATTATAGGGTGTTAATGGTAGGAGGGATACACAAGTTATAGGGTGTTAATGGTAGGAGGGATACACAAGTTATAGGGTGTTAATGGTAGGAGGGATACACAAGTTATAGGGTGTTAATGGTAGGAGGGATTGTTACACAAGTTATCAGGGTGTTAATGGTAGGGTGTTAATGGTAGGAGGGATACACAAGTTATAGGGTGTTAATGGTAGGAGGGATACACAAGTTATAGGGTGTTAATGGTAGGAGGGATACACAAGTTATAGGGTGTTAATGGTAGGAGGGATACACAAGTGATAGGGTGTTAATGGTAGGAGGGATACACAAGTTATAGGGTGTTAATGGTAGGAGGGATACACAAGTTATAGGGTGTTAATGGTAGGAGGGATACACAAGTTATAGGGTGTTAATGGTAGGAGGGGAGGGATACACAAGTTATAGGATGTTAATGGTAGGAGGGATACACAAGTTATAGGGTGTTAATGGTAGGAGGGATACACAAGTTATAGGGTGTTAATGGTAGGAGGGATACACAAGTTATAGGGTGTTGATGGTAGGAGGGATACACAAGTGATAGGGTGTTAATGGTAGGAGGGATACACATGTTACAGGGTGTTAATGGTAGGAGGGATACACAAGTTATAGGGTGTTAATGGTAGGAGGGATAACACATGTTATAGGGTGTTAATGGTAGGAGGGATACACAAGTTATAGGGTGTTAATGGTAGGAGGGATACACAAGTGTTAATAGGAGTGTTATAGGGTGTTAATGTAGTTATAGGGTGTTAATGGAGGAGGGATACACAAGTTATAGGGTGTTAATGGTAGGAGGGATTACACAAGTTATAGGGTGTTAATGGTAGGAGGGATACACAAGTTATAGGGTGTTAATGGTAGGAGGGATACACAAGTTATAGGGTGTTAATGGTAGGAGGGATTACACATGTTATAGGGTGTTAATGGTAGGAGGGATTACACAAGTTATAGGGTGTTAATGGTAGGAGGGATACACAAGTTATAGGGTGTTAATGGTAGGAGGGATTACACATGTTATAGGGTGTTAATGGTAGGAGGGATACACAAGTTATAGGGTGTTAATGGTAGGAGGGATTACACATGTTATAGGGTGTTAATGGTAGGAGGGATTACACATGTTATAGGGTGTTAATGGTAGGAGGGATACACATGTTATAGGGTGTTAATGGTAGGAGGGATACACAAGTTATAGGGTGTTAATGGTAGGAGGGATTACACAAGTTATAGGATGTTAATGGTAGGAGGGATACACAAGTTATAGGGTGTTAATGGTAGGAGGGATACACAAGTTATAGGGTGTTAATGGTAGGAGGGATACACAAGTTATAGGGTGTTAATGGTAGGAGGGATACACAAGTGATAGGGTGTTAATGGTAGGAGGGATTACACATGTTATAGGGTGTTAATGGTAGGAGGGATACACAAGTTATAGGGTGTTAATGGTAGGAGGGATACACAAGTTATAGGGTGTTAATGGTAGGAGGGATACACAAGTTATAGGGTGTTAATGGTAGGAGGGATACACAAGTTATAGGGTGTTAATGGTAGGAGGGATACACATGTTATAGGGTGTTAATGGTAGGAGGGATACACAAGTGATAGGGTGTTAATGGTAGGAGGGATACACAAGTGATAGGGTGTTAATGGTAGGAGGGATACACATGTTATAGGGTGTTAATGGTAGGAGGGATACACAAGTGATAGGGTGTTAATGGTAGGAGGGATACACAAGTGATAGGGTGTTAATGGTAGGAGGGATTACACAAGTTATAGGGTGTTAATGGTAGGAGGGATACACAAGTTATAGGGTGTTATAGGGTGTTAATGTAATGGTAGTTATAGGGTGTTAATGGTAGATACACATGTTACAGGGTGTTAATGGTAGGAGGGATACACAAGTTATAGGGTGTTAATGGTAGGAGGGATACACAAGTTATAGGGTGTTAATGGTAGGAAGGATACACAAGTTATAGGGTATTAATGGTAGGAGGGATACACAAGTTATAGGGTGTTAATGGTAGGAGGGATACACATGTTATAGGGTGTTAATGGTAGGAGGGATACACAAGTTATAGGGTGTTAATGGTAGGAGGGATACACAAGTGATAGGGTGTTAATGGTAGGAGGGATACACAAGTGATAGGGTGTTAATGGTAGGAGGGATACACAAGTGATAGGGTGTTAATGGTAGGAGGGATACACAAGTGATAGGGTGTTAATGGTAGGAGGGATACACAAGTGATAGGGTGTTAATGGTAGGAGGGATACACAAGTTATAGGGTGTTAATGGTAGGAGGGATACACAAGTTATAGGGTGTTAATGGTAGGAGGGATACACATGTTATAGGGTGTTAATGGTAGGAGGGATACACAATGGTAGTACACAAGTATAGGGTGTTAATGGTAGGAGGGATACACAAGTTATAGGGTGTTAATGGTAGGAGGGATACACAAGTTATAGGGTGTTAATGGTAGGAGGGATTACACAAGTTATAGGGTGTTAATGGTAGGAGGGATACACAAGTTATAGGGTGTTAATGGTAGGAGGGATACACAAGTGATAGGGTGTTAATGGTAGGAGGGATACACAAGTTATAGGGTGTTAATGGTAGGAGGGATTACACAAGTTATAGGGTGTTAATGGTAGGAGGGATACACAAGTTATAGGATGTTAATGGTAGGAGGGATACACAAATTATAGGGTGTTAATGGTAGGAGGGATACACAAGTTATAGGGTGTTAATGGTAGGAGGGATACACAAGTTATAGGGTGTTAATGGTAGGAGGGATACACAAGTTATAGGATGTTAATGGTAGGAGGGATTACACAAGTTATAGGGTGTTTATGGTAGGAGGGATACACAAGTTATAAGATGTAAATGGTTGGAGAAAACATATGACTTACAGAGTGTAAATTGGTAGGGGGCGTATTTTTTGTATGAAAATAAAACTTTTGTTTTCTTACATATGGGTTTAAATTTCTTCGATTACTTGCAGGAAATCACAGTTTTTGTGGAACCACCCAACAAGAAGTTATACTGTAAACTTTGTCAGAAAGTTTTTAAAGAACCTGTGATTGTCTCTTGTGGGGTAGGTACCAAAGTACAAATGCACAGATTGTCTTGTGTGGTACCTTTGTACAAATATACTTACGATATTCTATAACATCATTGGAAGTTAGTTTGTGACAGACTTTATATGCAAATTTTCAGTCATTCGTATCTAGTCATAGAAATGTCACTTTGATGTTTCGTTAGACTCGTTGCATTTTCAGAAATATACAGCATAAGTTAGGATTTCATGTTTTGTTTTTGTATATCAAAATTCTCAAACTGTAAATCACTTTTGTTTTGTGTGGAATTTATTTGTCGCGTTAATAAGCTTGGAGAGTTAATCACAAATTCAAATTCCTCATAATTTTTTGTACAGAAATAATTCTCGATCAACGTTTCTGAAATCATGTATTTACAAATATGCCCGAAAAAGGTAAGTTCGTGAAATGAAGTATTTGCGAAATCTTAAATGATTTACAGTATGCCTAAATTCATGATTTAAACAGTCATATGAAATTCATTTCATGGACATTCTATATATAGATCTAGCTAGATCAATTAACAAACATTAGCTCGATGGTGGTTGACCTGTAACATGCTAGCTGTTTGTCTATATTTTAAAGTTGATAAGGAATAAGTAAAACGAAGCAATGAAATTCTTTTCCAAGCATCAATTACAAGTGAACAGTGTACAGACCTGTGTATTGATCCATTACATAGTATGATATCTCTGTCCCAGTCAGTGACGGAGGTCCGCATTCCACGACACGTTTTATTTAAACAGTCAAATTTCACATTGGAATAGGGTATTTCAATTAATTTTGCTTGTCAAAAGTGACACGAAGAATAATATTTTGATGCTTGCAATGGTTTTTAAAGTCATTAGCATGTTGATGAGTTCTAAAAAGGTATAAAAAAACCAGAAATTTGCCAACTTGTGCAGAATATCCATTTTAGCAGCACTCTGAATAATATAAGTTTTGATAGGTACATTGTATAAGGAAAGTTTAACAGTATAATGTGTAACAAATCTGTCAAACCTTTAACTATTTGTATAGAATTGAGGTTTTTGTAACTTGGTTATGTCATACACCTCAACTTTGCATCGTTTTAATTTATTTTTCATGTTCTTTTATGTTTCAGCACACTTATTGTCAACGATGTGTCACTGCCAACCCAGAAGGTACAATTTTTACACTTTTAAGTAATTTGTTATGTGATAAAAAAAAATGTGATTTTATCTTTATTCATTTTTTATCAATTTCAAAACAAGCTGTCAGCTTAAACAAACTTTCAACTTAAATATATATCATTGTTCATATTGTTGACTTGGATGGAAGTAGGCAGTGGTTAGTACTGTAGGAGGAAACTGGAGCACCCTGAGATAATGTACATGATGAGGCAGGGAACTTTATACCTTATCACGTTCATTCATGATCAGGTGAAGCCAACCTTAGGCAAAAGGGGATAGATTTACCACTTTGCAACCTGACCACCCAAAAAATGTGATTTAAAGAAAAATTTTGATATTAAAGTAAGATGTGAAATGAAGTGAGATATGACATCAAGTGTTTAGATTATTTTGCTTTGAAGAAAATTCAGTATTTGATCAAAGTCGAAACTAGTTAGTTTCTTTATTAGGGCTTTTCACTAACTGGTGAAAAGACCTATTGTTTTTGTTCGGTTTCTTATTATTCTTATTATTATTATTATTCTTCCAATTTTGTGGGTTCGTAATCTTTTAAATTGAAATATAAAGTCTATTCACCTATATGTAGATACGTATATGAACTTGTCGATGCCGATTTTTTAAGTAGGTCAAAAATCCAATATGGCCGCCATGACATCATAAGTTAAAAACTTAAAAACGACGATATCTCCAACACCGTTGATTATACAGAGTTTGTGCAATTATATTATTTTTAGAGAATTTCCTTATCTAAATTTTTGTCATGATATGTTATCAGAGAATATGTCGAATAAAAAAGCTCGCTGTTGGGTAAATTTTCAAAATTCAACAAATTTTTAATTTTTTTTCAATTTTGAACTTTCTTGAAATTTTCTTCTTCAGATCGATGCAGAACATCCTTCCGATGAATTTAATGTTTTGTTTTTCGGTAGATTGTCGCCAAAGAAGTGAAAAGCCTGCAAAATTGTTAGCAACAATTTCTAGTTATAAATGTTTCTTTATTATTAGTTTCCAGATTATAAAGGTTTTGTTTTTATAAGGTTTCTTTATCGTCAGCGTCCAGACTATCACAGTACTGTCGTGTAGTATTCTGTTATTATTAATTCACATATTATAAAGCTTCCTCTGTATCGTCAGCGTCCAGACTCCGAGAATTTTGCTGTATAAAGGTTTCCTTGATATCAGTATCCAGATTGCTGAGTTTCTTCTTTACAAAAGTTTTATCCCATCACTCTCCCGATCGGTGACTTTTCATTTACGTTTTAAACAAGATAATCTAGTAAATAAGTGTTCTTTGGTTTCCTAGCAACATGCCCAGTAGATGGAAAGTCACTGGATATCATCGTGAGCAACATCACTCTGTCCGAGCAAATTGGCGACCTATTTATCCACTGTAAATATGGTTGCTCATTGTCGATGGATGGTCAGAGCTATGTTGTAGACTCCAGCAAGTGTCCTGTACAGTGTCGCATCACCAACAGGAGGTATATATGTAAGGGGAGAAATCAATCGCATCTTTTAGCGGGTGACTTTCATTTCTTAATATAACTGAAAGGTCAAGGTCAGTGTCAAGTAAGGTCTAAGAAAAAATCGGTGAGTTTAATGATCAGTCAAATTACATCTATAAAGGGCAAGGTAAAGGGATTCTGTTAATGATTTTTCATATTATTAATGTTTCAGTTTTTACTTTTATAAAAGGTTATGACAGATGCAAGTTTTACAAGGTTCACACACACCACAATTCCATACAATTATTCATTTCTATTAGAATTCAATCAAATGATACAAAAATCAAGCTGTTTTACAAAATGTCTAACTATCTAATATCAATAAAACAGAATTTTATGGGTTTTTATGATTTGTTTCCAAAATTACAATCATGTCTTCTCTTGTTTGTTTAATCTTCTCAATCTCCTACTCCTTTTGTTGATAGTGAACATGAAGACAATTGCGACTTTATGGCGATGGAGTGTCCCAACAATAGTGGCTGTCCAGCTATCCTTAAAAAGGTAACTTAGATAATTGTGATCAGCTATGTGTTTAATTTACTTGTGGAAGTGTTGTGGGCACCTGCAAGATCGCATTGGAAATATTTTATTTTCATGTGTGGTATAAAAGAAGAAAGGTTTGGTGTTTGTTAGTATTTCTGGTGGTTGTCTGGTTCTTATTTGAGAAAATGACATAGCTTACTTAGATTGACCTAGGTTTCCGTGACAGGTGTGGTCCAAGACGTGTGATCCGTGAAGCAAAAAACACTTACCCTTCTGGAACCTCAGGTCTTATACTCCTAGACTAACATTCTTATAAGGATTTCAATAAAAATCTTCATTTTGTTTTTATTTGGGTTCATTGTGCCATTGTTTTTCCATTTGGGAGTATTACGATTTGTACTTCTAGTGACCAATATTTTCTTGGCGGGTGTCGCCCGTAAGGCAGAACCTCTTACTAATTCTCTTTGTACATTTTCAGGATACTTGAAAATCTTTCCTTTGTCCGTGTTTTGCCCCTTGATTAATTGAGAGTTTAAATTAAAGTTCTGTTGACATGTCCGTATTTTCTTTGTTGATTTTGTTTCAACAATTTTAAATTGAGATTTTGCTAACATTGCAATATTTCATGTTGTTCTTGTACGATTTCTAGATAAATGTCTGTCGTGCATAAACTTTTGAACATTTAAAACTTCTTCTCAAGTTCCGCCAGTGGGATTGAGCTCAAACATGCATGAAATGATCCTGAGATGGTCCTGACCAAGTTTTGTTATTTTTCAGATATATTTGATATCCAAGATGGCCTCCATCTTGAAAAATATACTTTAAACTTCTTCCCCAGTTCCACTGGTGCCATTGAGCTAAAAATTGATGGGAATGTTAAGGAAAGGAAGCCAACCAAATATTGTTATTTTTTGACCGTGTCAAAACTTTGATACAGCAGCTAGGGAGATCATTTCTTAACATGATTGCGCAATCATGGTTTTCCTGTGCAACACCTGTTTCAAACTTCTTCTCAAGATCCACCAGTTGGATTGATCTCCAACGTTACTGTAAAAAAAATAGGTAACACTTGTTACAGTTACCCACTCCTCACCAAGACTACCATCTGCATCATGGAAAACAGCTTCTTAGTAAGATTTCATTCAAAGTAGAAAAAATAACACTGCTGAAAGTTTTTGTATAGAGATGACTGTTAAGGCCATGGACCTCTTGTTCATTATAAAGAGATTCTGATCAGATGTATGATAGCTTTTCATTTTTCAATCATATGAAACAAATTTTCAGGGTTTTTTTTTCATTAAGCCGAGCATATGACAAGGTAATATGAAAAAATTTGTGATGAATTTCATAAATCTCAGATGTAATTGAAATAAATGTAGGATGCTGTTTCTCACATAACTTTAAAATTTTAACAATAAAATTTATGAAAACAGCATCGGTTTGACTGATATAAATTCCGCAGTTGGCAATTTTTAAAATTTTCACAAACATTTATGAAAAATTATCTGACTGATATAAACTCCCAAATTGTTACTGATCTATATCTCTTTCTTTGCTGACAATTCATATGATGGTATAAATATGCAGTAAACATATGTATGTGGCGATAATATATTCTATGTAATGGGTGCTATTACATTGATAACATGGTAATTATTTTTAAAGAGTTATTTTGATGTATGATACTGATATATATATAAATATATTTCAGGATTTGGAGGACCATCTTAAGACTTGTAACAGAGCTCGCTGTCCCCACAATCGGTTTGGGTAAGGGTTAGCTCTAAATTAAAGTTTTTGTTATTTTGAAAAAAATAAACCCCAATGACAGTGAAAGAAATACCAAGTTTGTGTGACCTGTTTCTACCACAATAAAAAAAATATTGCGATGATTTATTGAGTGGTTTTGTTTGCACCCAGATGTGTTTTGTTAACGATTTCAGCTAGTATGTAATGATATATATATATATACTGTGGGGAAATGCTGTGATGGAATTGATATGAAAAAAATTGACAATTTCAGAAATATGTGGAAAAATTATTATTAATTACAAATCATATCTAATACATAAGAGGTTTATTGTCTTTAAGGTGATAAATTGATCCAGATAAGATAACTACTTGTTGGGTTGCATGTTTTAACTTCAATGGTTACAAGAAACCGAAGTTCACCATGTCGACCAATCAGGCTGCTTTTACACTTTATTCCATTTGCGATATGAACGTTTGTTTAAACATTAGTTGTAAAGTTATCTTAACGCTTTGGTAGTTGAATAATTCCAAATTATTGTGGTAAACATATTTATGAAAAATAATCTCTCAGTTACTTTTGTATTTCTATGTTGTTCGTGTTTCAGATGTGAGTTCATGGGTGTGCATGATGAATTGGACGAACATTTAAAAATTTGTAAATTTGAAGGAATGAAAGAGTACATTCATCGTACAGAAGAAAAAATGTCCGATATGCAATATTCACTGAATCAAAAAGATCAAGAAGTAGGCTTTCTACGTTCCATGTTGGGGAAGTTAGCAGAAAGACTAGAAAACATGGAGAAACAGACAGAAGACAGAGTGGGTGAGTGATGTATAAATATGACAGGGATTAGTCCTTACGGTTTTTATATAGTGTTAGATATGGTCTTTTATACTCAGATAGGGCAAGCTTATTTGGTTTCGTTGATAGAGCTGAGAATCATCACTCTTAACACAAAGGTTTGATTTCACCCTAACTCTGAATCATCACTCTTAACACGAAGGTTTGATTTCACCCTAGCTGTTAATCATCACTCTTAACATGAAGATTTGATTTCACCCTAGCTGTTAATCATCACTCTTAACATGAAGGTTTGATTTCACCCTAGCTGTTAATCATCACTCTTGAAGCAAAGGTTTGATTTCACCCTAGCTGTTAATCATCACTCTTAACATGAAGGTTTGATTTCACACTAGCTGTTAATCATCACTCTTAACATGAAGGTTTGATTTCACCCGAGCTGTCAATCATCTCGCTTTAAACAAAAGTTTTATTTCACCCTAACTCTGAATCATCACTCTTGAAGCAAAGGTTTGATTTCACCCTAGCTGTTAATCATCACTCTTAACATGAAGGTTTGATTTCACACTAGCTGTTAATCATCACTCTTAACATGAAGGTTTGATTTCACCCGAGCTGTCAATCATCTCGCTTTAAACAAAAGTTTTATTTCACCCTAACTCTGAATCATCACTCTTGAAGCAAAGGTTTGATTTCACCCTAGCTGTTAATCATCACTCTTAACATGAAGGTTTGATTTCACACTAGCTGTTAATCATCACTCTTAACATGAAGGTTTGATTTCACCCGAGCTGTCAATCATCTCGCTTTAAACAAAAGTTTTATTTCACCCTAACTCTGAATCATCACTCTTGAAGCAAAGGTTTGATTTCACCCTAGCTGTTAATTTTCACTCTTGAAACGAAGACTTGATTTCTCCCAAGCCATGAATCATCACTCTTAAAAGGAAGGTTTGAAATCACCCCAACTCTGAATCGTCGCTCTTGAAACAAAGGTTTGATTTCACCCCAAACTTTGAATCATCACTTTTGAAACGAAGGTTTGATTTCACCCTAGCTATTAATCGTCACTCTTGAAACGAAGGTTTGATTTCACCCTAGCTATTAAACGTCACTCTTGAAATGAAGGTTTGATTTCACCCCAACTCTGAATCGTTACTCTTGAAACGAAGGTTTGATTCCACTCATATCGTCCTCATCATGAATCTGTTTTTTCCTATATTTCACAAATATTTAAGGATTTAAGTGTATATATATATATATCTGGTGTTTTTTTTTAATGACTAAAATGTAGTATGGTATTAATATTTCGAATCTTTTTATAATAGAAATTAAATCTTGAAAATACAGATAAATCAGCGATGTCCTTATGTCGGATTGCATCAGGACTAGACAAACTGGGCAATCACCGATAATCAAGGAAACAACTTTATTAATATGTTTGTTACAGAGCGACTGGAGCACAGACTTGGAGATGTTGTTGAGGAGTTGGTGAGCGTTAAAAGGGAGAGCACTGTTATGCAGGTAAATTGCTACACAGTGAAACACAAAATTAGCAAAGGCATCTTGCCCAAAGGTACAATGATGATAACACAGGACAGTGTGATGTCTCAAATTTCTGAGAAACACAAACTGGCTCAAGTAGCTATCTTCAGACAACATATCTGAAATCTTCACCAGAAGTTAAAAACAACAAAGTTTTTCTGATCAAGATTTTGAGGTCCTGACTATCAAACTAAAAACATAATTTCAAAATAGAAATATAGAAGATCTAACTCAGTTAATGAGTTTTCATAATGTATGAGATTTTATGAAGCAAATCTTAGAAGTAAATTAGAGAGGAACAAAATTGAATTTAAACTTTTAAGATGAGTTTCATAAAATCTCATATGAAATGAAAACAAACTTCAGATACATTTTACCACATAACCGAGAAAAGTTGTATTTGACAGGATTTTGAAGTCAAAATTTTAGTACAAAATTAAAAAGTGGCTACATCACAGTCAATTTCTGTGTAGCAAAGCCAGTGAAAAATGCTCTAGGCTCTATTACACCAGTGACATACATGCAAAAATATGACCTGACCAGGATAACAGGCTGATTATGTGATATATACATTTGTAATTGAGTATCATCTGATTAGCATATTTCATTTACAACCCATTTTACATTAATTACAGTTTCACAAGAAATGCTTACGAAAGATAAAATTTTCTTGCTAGGTTTTTTATTACCAAGATATTAAAAACCATTTAAAAGTTTAATCTAAGTTGAAGTTTTAAATGAAGTTGATATGAAAAAATCAAAATACAATTATTCCTTTACAGGATGATTTAGAGCAAGTGAAAAATGTGCTGAGCTCTAGAAGTCTTCCTTATGCACGTAAGTGTTTATCTCCCACAAAGTAGATCCATGTTTGTTTAACACTGGTTCCTCAGTCTTAATTCTGCCATATCAAAGGATCCATTTTGCCTTTCTTGAAAAATATTATAACAGTCCCACAGCTGAAATATTTTTTCTTATGCAAAGTGTTTCGGTTAAAATCTTTTTTCTGACTCAGTAATTGCAATTTCAAGACTTCACAGCACCTCAGAAGAAGTCAATACTTCATATTGTATATTACATCCTTGGATATTTTTTTAAATATCTGTATTATTAGTAACTGAAAGTCTCAAATAAGATGTATGCACTTTTAATATACTTAGAAGTTAGACCAGGCCAAATGTTAGAATACTGAAGTTAATGTAGACAGGATGTCAGAACACCCAGATGATATTAGATTGAATGTCTGAATGCCCAGGTTACACTAGATTGAATGTCTGAATGCCCAGGTTACACTAGATTGAATGTCTGAATGCCCAGGTTACACTAGATTGAATGTCTGAATGCCCAGGTTACACTAGATTGAATGTCTGAATGCCCAGGTTACACTAGATTGAATGTCTGAATGCCCAGGTTACACTAGATTGAATGTCTGAATGCCCAGGCTACACTAGATTGAATGTCAGAATGCCCAGGTTACACTAGATTGAATGTCTGAATGCCCAGGTTACACTAGATTGAATGTCAGAATGCCCAGGTTACACTAGATTGAATGTCAGAATGCCCAGGTTACACTAGATTGAATGTCAGAATGCCCAGGTTACACTAGATTGAATGTCAGAATGCCCAGGTTACACTAGATTGAATGTCAGAATGCCCAGGTTACACTAGATTGAATGTCAGAATGCCCAGGTTACACTAGATTGAATGTCAGGATACCCAGGTTACACTAGATTGAATGTCAGAATGCCCAGGTTACACTAGATTGAATGTCAGAATGCCCAGGTTACACTAGATTGAATGTCAGAATGCCCAGGTTACACTAGATTGAATGTCAGAATGCCCAGGTTACACTAGATTGAATGTCAGAATGCCCAGGTTACACTAGATTGAATGTCAGAATGCCCAGGTTACACTAGATTGAATGTCAGAATGCCCAGGTTACACTAGATTGAATGTCAGAATGCCCAGGTTACACTAGATTGAATGTCAGAATGCCCAGGTTACAATAGATTGAATGTCTGAATGCCCAGGTTACACTAGATTGAATGTCGGAATGCCCAGGTTACACTAGATTGAATGTCAGAATGCCCAGGTTACACTAGATTGAATGTCGGAATGCCCAGGTTACACTAGATTGAATGTCGGAATGCCCAGGTTACACTAGATTGAATGTCTGAATGCCCAGGTTACACTAGATTGAATGTCTGAATTGAATACACTAGATTGAATGTCAGAATGCCCAGGTTACACTAGATTGAATGTCAGAATGCCCAGGTTACACTAGATTGAATGTCAGAATGCCCAGGTTACACTAGATTGAATGTGAATGAATGTCAGAATGCCCAGGTTACACTAGATTGAATGTCAGGAATGCCCAGGTTACACTAGATTGAATGTCAATGAATGTCCCAGGTTACACTAGATTGAATGTCTGAATGCCCAGGTTACACTAGATTGAATGTCAGAATGCCCAGGTTACACTAGATTGAATGTCAGAATGCCCAGATACAAGATTGAATGTCAGAATGCCCAGGTTACACTAGATTGAATGTCTGAATGCCCAGGTTACACTAGATTGAATGAATGCCCAGGTTACACTAGATTGAATGTCTGAATGCCCAGGTTACACTAGATTGAATGTCACCCAGGTTACACTAGATTGAATGTCTGAATGCCCAGGTTACACTAGATTGAATGCCCAGGTTACACTAGATTGAATGTCCCCAGGTTACACTAGATTGAATGTCTGCCCAGGTTACACTAGATTGAATGTCTGAATGCCCAGGTTACAATAGATTGAATGTCTGAATGCCCAGGTTACACTAGATTGAATGTCAGAATGCCCAGGTTACACTAGATTGAATGTCAGAATGCCCAGGTTACACTAGATTGAATGTCAGAATGCCCAGAATACACTAGATTGAATGTCTGAATGCCCAGGTTACACTAGATTGAATGTCTGAATGCCCAGGTTACACTAGATTGAATGTCTGAATGCCCAGGTTACACTAGATTGAATGTCAGAATGCCCAGGTTACACTAGATTGAATGTCTGAATGCCCAGGTTACACTAGATTGAATGTCTGAATGCCCAGGTTACACTAGATTGAATGTCCCCAGGTTACACTAGATTGAATGTGACACTAGATTGAATGTCAGAATGCCCAGGTTACACTAGATTGAATGTCAGAATGCCCAGGTTACACTAGATTGAATGTCAGAATGCCCAGGTTACACTAGATTGAATGTCAGAATGCCCAGGTTACACTAGATTGAATGTCAGTTACACTAGATTGAATGTCAGGATACCCAGGTTACACTAGATTGAATGTCAGAATTACCTAGATTGAATGTCAGGCCCAGGTTACACTAGATTGAATGTCAGAATGCCCAGGTTACACTAGATTGAATGTCAGAATGCCCAGGTTACACTAGATTGAATGTCAGAATGCCCAGGTTACACTAGATTGAATGTCAGAATGCCCAGGTTACACTAGATTGAATGTCTGAATGCCCAGGTTACACTAGATTGAATGTCTGAATGCCCAGGTTACACTAGATTGAATGTCTGAATGCCCAGGTTACACTAGATTGAATGTCAGAATGCCCAGGTTACACTAGATTGAATGTCAGAATGCCCAGGTTACAATAGATTGAATGTCTGAATGCCCAGGTTACACTAGATTGAATGTCTGAATACCCAGGCTACACTAGATTGAATGTCTGAATGCCCAGGTTACACTAGATTGAATGTCTGAATGCCCAGACTACACTAGATTGAATGTCTGAATACCCAGGCTACACTAGATTGAATGTCTGAATGCCCAGGCTACACTAGATTGAATGTCGGAATGCCCAGGTTACACTAGATTGAATGTCTGAATGCCCAGGTTACACTAGATTGAATGTCTGAATGCCCAGGTTACACTAGATTGAATGTCAGAATGCCCAGGTTACACTAGATTGAATGTCAGAATGCCCAGGTTACACTAGATTGAATGTCAGAATGCCCAGGTTACACTAGATTGAATGTCTGAATGCCCAGGTTACACTAGATTGAATGTCTGAATGCCCAGGTTACACTAGATTGAATGTCAGAATGCCCAGGTTACACTAGATTGAATGTCAGAATGCCCAGGTTACACTAGATTGAATGTCAGGATGCCCAGGTTACACTAGATTGAATGTCGGAATGCCCAGGTTACACTAGATTGAATGTCAGAATGCCCAGGTTACACTAGATTGAATGTCAGAATGCCCAGGTTACACTAGATTGAATGTCAGAATGCCCAGGTTACACTAGATTGAATGTCAGAATGCCCAGGTTGCACTAGATTGAATGTCAGGAATACCCAGGTTACACTAGATTGAATGTCAGAATGCCCAGGTTACACTAGATTGAATGTCAGAATGCCCAGGTTACACTAGATTGAATGTCAAAATGCCCAGGTTACACTAGATTGAATGTCAGAATGCCCAGGTTACACTAGATTGAATGTCAGAATGCCCAGGTTACACTAGATTGAATGTCTGAATGCCCAGGTTACACTAGATTGAATGTCTGAATGCCCAGGTTACACTAGATTGAATGTCTGAATGCCCAGGTTACACTAGATTGAATGTCAGAATGCCCAGGTTACACTAGATTGAATGTCAGAATGCCCAGGTTACACTAGATTGAATGTCTGAATGCCCAGGTTACACTAGATTGAATGTCTGAATGCCCAGGTTACACTAGATTGAATGTCTGAATGCCCAGGTTACACTAGATTGAATGTCTGAATGCCCAGGTTACACTAGATTGAATGTCTGAATGCCCAGGTTACACTAGATTGAATGTCTGAATGCCCAGGTTACACTAGATTGAATGTCGGAATGCCCAGGTTACACTAGATTGAATGTCTGAATGCCCAGGTTACACTAGATTGAATGTCTGAATGCCCAGGTTACACTAGATTGAATGTCAGAATGCCCAGGTTACACTAGATTGAATGTCAGAATGCCCAGGTTACACTAGATTGAATGTCAGAATGCCCAGGTTACACTAGATTGAATGTCTGAATGCCCAGGTTACACTAGATTGAATGTCTGAATGCCCAGGTTACACTAGATTGAATGTCGGAATGCCCAGGTTACACTAGATTGAATGTTAGAATGCCCAGGTTACACTAGATTGAATGTCAGGATGCCCAGGTTACACTAGATTGAATGTCGGAATGCCCAGGTTACACTAGATTGAATGTCAGAATGCCCAGGTTACACTAGATTGAATGTCAGAATGCCCAGGTTACACTAGATTGAATGTCAGAATGCCCAGGTTACACTAGATTGAATGTCAGAATGCCCAGGTTACACTAGATTGAATGTCAGAATGCCCAGGTTACACTAGATTGAATGTCAGAATGCCCAGGTTACACTAGATTGAATGTCAGAATGCCCAGGTTACACTAGATTGAATGTCAGAATGCCCAGGTTACACTAGATTGAATGTCAGGATACCCAGGTTACACTAGATTGAATGTCAGGATACCCAGGTTACACTAGATTGAATGTCAGGATACCCAGGTTACACTAGATTGAATGTCTGAATGCCCAGGCTACACTAGATTGAATGTCTGAATGCCCAGGTTACACTAGATTGAATGTCGGAATGCCCAGGTTACACTAGATTGAATGTCGGAATGCCCAGGTTACACTAGATTGAATGTCAGAATGCCCAGGTTACACTAGATTGAATGTTAGAATGCCCAGAATACACTAGATTTAATGTTGGAATGCCCAGGTTACACTAGATTGAATGTCAGAATGCCCAGGTTACACTAGATTGAATGTCAGAATGCCCAGGTTACACTAGATTGAATGTCAGAATGCCCAGAATACACTAGATTGAATGTTAGAATGCCCAGGTTACACTAGATTGAATGTCGGAATGCCCAGGTTACACTAGATTGAATGTCGGAACACTTAGGTTAGTTTGGAGATTATGTCAGAGTACTCAATCTAGATAAGTTGTTTTACACTGTAACTTATAGCTGTACTATTACTACAGCCTGTGATCTGCTTCAGATGTTTTGGTATGTTTTTCACATAAACCTATAGGTGTACTATTATTTCAGCTTACGATCCGCTTCAGATGTTTAAGTGTAGAGGAACTTTCGTTGGTCATCAGGTAATTAATTGATTGGACAGTGGTCAGTATTGCATAAATGTCATATCAGTTGATATCTGTGAACCATTTTTTTTATAATGGAACATATGTTCTCAACTCTAAAAATAGCCATTTTGTAAATCATTATTTCAAAAATTTGTTTCTACAGGATGAGAAGTGCAATGCTTTGTCTTTTTTTGCATGAAGGGTCAATCACATTGTCCAGTGCTGCATTCTGTGATCGTCTGTTATTGTTTCTGTCTGTGTACCGATGACGTATACAACATGAACAAGATGATCACGTGACAACCAACGCACATGTGTGTATGTACACAGACAGAAACAATAACAGACGATCACAGAATGCAGCACTGGACAATATGATCGACCCTACGACATCTAGTAACAAGAGGTTTATGTATCTTCAGCAAATTAGAGTTCCTGTTTGTACTGAATTAATCTGACTTGATTTTTCCAGCTTATTTATCATTAAACAATTTCAAAGAATAAATAAAACCTTGAGGCAACAAATAAAAGAAAAATAAGAAAAATAAGGAAAAATACACAAAAACAATAAATCACAATATCTGCTGACTTGCGTTGTCTTTCAGGGACCGGTTTGGTGCCTGTGCGTCAATAACGACTTTTTGTTCAGTGGCTCGTCTGACAAGACAATAAAGGTAAGATATTAAAATAAGATAGCCTTGTGCCACAAATATGAAAGTCGTGTGTATTAATCACTGCCACTTTACCACTTCATTTACAATTCTTTAATTTACTGTAGGTCTGGGATACTGGCAATAACTATAAATGTTTAAAGACACTCGAGGGCCACTCTGGCATCGTGTTGGCCATCTGCACCTACGGCAATAAATTGTACAGTGGTTCACAAGACAGCAGTATTATCGTAAGTAATATAATTCATCTTGAAGTATTGGTTATTGTGCTGTTCTATTAGGAACTGATGTTCGTAAGCTTTACCCTCAAGTTTCTTTCTTTTCTTTCTTTTCTTTTTCTTTCTTTCTTTCTTTCTTTCTTTCTTTTCTTTTCTTTTTCTCTCTTTCTTTCTTTTCTTTTCTTTTTCTTTCTTTCTTTCTTTCTTTCTTTTCTTTTTCTCTCTTTCTTTCTTTTCTTTTCTTTTTCTTTCTTTCTTTCTTTCTTTCTCTTTTTCTCTCTTTCTTTCTTTTCTTTCTTTTCTTTTTCTTTCTTTCTTTCTTTCTTTCTTTCTTTTCTTTTTCTCTCTTTCCCTCCTTCTTTCTTTTCTTTTTCTCTCTTTCTTTCTTTTCTTTCTTTTCTTTTTCCTTCTTTCTTTCTTTTCTTTTTCTTTCTTTCTTTCTTTTCTTTTTCCTTCTTTCTTTCTTTCTTTCTTTCTTTCTTTCTTTTCTTTTCTTTTCTTTTCTTTTCTTTTCTTTCTTTCTTTCTTTCTTTCTTTCTTTCTTTCTTTCTTTCTTTCTTTCTTTCTTTCTTTCTTTCTTTCTTTCTTTCTTTCTTTCGTTCCTTCCTTCCTTCCTTCTTTCTTTTCTTTTTCTCTCTTTCTTTTTCTTTCTTTTCTTTTTCTTTCTTTCTTTCTTTCTTTCTTTCTTTCTTTCTTTCTTCTCTCTCTCTTTCTTTTTCTTTCTTTTCTTTTTCCTTCTTTCTTTCTTTCTTTCTCTTTTTCTCTCTTTCTTTCTTTCTTTCTTTTTCTTTCTTTCTTTCTTTCTTTCTTTCTTTTTCTTTCTTTCTGTCAATAGTTACTCTTATATTACAGCCAGTAGAAAGTTATAACTTACAGGTATCGCTTCTTCTGGTTGTGTTATAAGAGCTGATGTTCTTAATACATGTCGGTTTCACACCTGGCTGTCGGTAAACAATAAAAATCAAATTGTCTTCACGTGCCGGTCGTAGTACACCAATTCCTTCACATTCAGTGTAAACTCATAACAGATCCAAACAATTAGAACAAGGAAAGAAATGAAAAAAAAATCTGGCGGGTACAGATTTATTTAACAGCCATTTTTTTAAAATGTGTTATGGCACTAGTGGTAATTTTGTGAATAGGGGTATTCCTTGTTTTCAATACTCATGTAGAAGCCATGGTTTATTAGATCACAACTACCTCCTATTCAACAAGGTATGTGTTTTAATAACCTTATGATGTTCACTATTTTGTCGTAAACCCTCTTTAACAGCTTGTGTTTTATGTTCTGGCTGCAAGAGCACGGTGCCAAATACAGGCAGATCTTCTCACACATTTGTAGTGATTTTTTTGTTTGTAATCTACATTATTTCTTTATACTTACAGAGCAACTAGTTAAGTTGTTCATCAAATTAAATTGGAGAATTACATTATCTTACATGTCGATAAACTGCTTGGGTAGCAAGACTAAAGGACATGTGATTGTCATGTCATTGTCTTTGTGTTTCAAGTTGATGTTTATGGGAACCAGGTAACTTTTTGTAGGTCGCTGGAGAAGGTCATTTTTGGTGTTAGGGACACCGATTGCATTAGACAGGTGGTTGCTTTATACAGGTCATTTGTATTGTAAATTACCGGGTACATTGGGAGGTTAAGTTACAGTCGTATATGACGGTAAGTCACTTAATTTGGATGATCGCTTTAGCAGGATTGACTGTAGTAGTCAGATATAGGTGAGCAAAATTACCTACCTGGGCCTAATACCAAATAAATATTATCATTGCTATTATAATGTTTGATATAAAATCCTGAAGCTGAAATTATTCATTCCAAATACACTTACAAATTCAATATTTTCACTATGATCAGAAGTTAATTTGATTGTAATTTCTGTTATTTTGGCAGATTGCTGTTTGTAACAGAAAACTGTATATATTCTTTGTTGTGAACAGGTGTGGAATATTGATAACTTTGAACAAGTATGTGTGATAGATGCCCACTGTAATCCAGTATGTACTCTCGCCTCAACAAAAAGCCTGCTGTTCAGTGGCTCTCTCAAAGTCATCAAGGTAAATAGTTCGGGTGGTCAGGTGGCGCAGCGGTAAATCATGATGATTTGCTATGATCAAGGTTAATCAAGTTTATTTAAGGTAGCGGCCATAAGGAATCTTTTCAATAAAGTATTGGCCTACATAACCCTTTTTGCTGTGGATGGTCTCTGATGAACCTCTAGTATGTTGTTCAGTGAGGTAGCCACCTGCTATACAAGGTGACCTCACCTCAAACAACCGTTGCTGTTGATGCGATGATAAACCAAGCAAACAAACAAAAATTAAGATTTCATGGAAAATGTTTCATGTTGAGATAGAGAGGTCAAGGTCATATATTTGCGGAAAGATTCTGAAGTTTATTATCACAACTGCAGCGATATTTTGATTAATGTAAAGATATCTAGATGCAATCTGTTTGTTTTATAAAGAAGTTAAGTTAATATAGGTACATGTTTGAGTAACTACTGATGTTTTGATGATTTAGCTCTGATGACAATTCATAATACAGTATTTGTTGATATTTTTTTGTTTTTAAACAAAAACACCTTAATCAAGTCTTCAGGCCATGGAACAATTGTCTCCCTTTGCTCGTGATTTTTTAAAAGGTTTTGCATGTTTGAATTCATTTTTTGATTTGTTTAGAATTATCTGTGTGGTATGACTGAAGATACTTTCTGATATCAAAATCAAAGAAAAATAATGTAACGATTTGTGACATACTGTTTGTAGGTATGGGACGTACACACTAATGAGTTGAAGCAGGAATTGACAGGATTGAACCATTGGGTGCGGGCTCTTGTGGCCACTCAAAATCACCTCTACAGTGGGTCTTACCAGACTATCAGAGTAAGTTACTTATTTCTATCCTGTTGCTTTGGTCCCATAGTGTTATGTCCTTTCAAACACTGCATGAAATGACTTTTGAACAAAGATCATTTGACTTTGATATCAAGGATTAAGTAAATTGACTTTCTGTCGCCAAGAGATTGTGAATATTAAGTTTTTTGTATTGAAGAGATTAAACCATTTTGAGTATTACTCAAAACCTGACACATAATTTGTCAGACAAGGAGGACAAAAAACACTGAAACTGTGTACTAGTCCTTTGTCAGACAAGGAGGACAAAAAACACTGAAACTGTGTACTAGTCCTTTGTCAGACAAGGAGGACAAAAAACACTAACACTGTGTACTAGTCCTTTGTCAGACAAGGAGGACAAAAAACACTGAAACTGTGTACTAGTCCTTTGTCAGACAAGGAGGACAAAAAACACTGAAACTGTGTACTAGTCCTTTGTCAGACAAGGAGGGCAAAAAACACTAACACTGTGTACTAGTCCTTTGTCAGACAAGGAGAGCAAAAAACACTAACACTGTGTACTAGTCCTTTGTCAGACAAGGAGGACAAAAAAGACTAACACTGTGTACTAGTCCTTTGTAAGACAAGGAGGACAAAAAACACTGAAACTGTGTACTAGTCCTTTGTCAGACAAGGAGGACAAAAAAGACTAACACTGTGTACTAGTCCTTTGTCAGACAAGGAGGACAAAAAACACTGAAACTGTGTACTAGTCCTTTGTCAGACAAGGAGGACAAAAAACACTGAAACTGTGTACTAGTCCTTTGTCAGACAAGGAGGACAAAAAACACTAACACTGTGTACTAGTCCTTTGTCAGACAAGGAGAGCAAAAAACACTAACACTGTGTACTAGTCCTTTGTCAGACAAGGAGGGCAAAAAACACTAACACTGTGTACTAGTCCTTTGTCAAACAAGGAGGACAAAAACGCTAAACCTGTGTACTTGTCAAACAAGGTGTTAAAGATGCATTTGAACGGTTTTGTTCATATCCTAGACATTTTCTTGTACAACACAATCAGCCAAATTTTGAAGGTTGAGGAGGATCAAAAGTCCTGTGGTAAGCATTTCTCATTCTCACTCTACCATTTAATCACAGAGGAATAGTGCCAATATTGTGTTTAGCAGGTCTGTTTCATATAGTCATGGTACATTATATTCCATCACATAACGATCGCATCACCCATGTGACTTCAGTTCGGGCGGTGTAATATGTAAAAAATTAATTTGTAAAAGTCTGTATCTTACTTGTATTATTAAGCTATCGATGCTTTAAGCTTTAAGCATGCCACCTCTTTCACATGGTTTGTCCCATAGATCTAAATGTTTAGCTTAATTGACTTCTTAAAATTCACCAGTTAATGTTTTAAGGACGTTTAATATTCATTTCTTGATATTCTTTTTTCCATGTGTATCTTTTTGAATTTCTTTTGTCAGATCTGGGACCTTGAGACATTAGAATGCTTACAGATGCTGGAAACGTCAGGTGGCAGTGTATACAGTATAGCTATCACAAACTACCATATATTGTGTGGTACATATGAAAACGTCATTCATGTAAGTGTAAACAGGGTTTGCATGCTTTTGTAAAGACCCTTAATTTTGAGTATTGTCCAAAAGAAAAGAAAAAAAAAAGACACTAAATTTGGTTTAAGTCCTTAAAAAGACTCTTAATCTTTACTTACTATACATTGAAAATGCAATTTTATAAATTACGGGGAATGATGAATAAAAAAGAATAAAAGTGAAGAAAAAAGTTAATTCTTAAGATCATGCTGTCATAATTGCAAAAATGATAATGAAAAAAAAAAAAAGAAATTAAAAATATTCAGTTTTGAAAGTCCTTAAATCCGCAATTCCATTTTCTTATCGTAAATTAGTGATACCTGAATCAAGGTCTATTAAATGCTCATACATGTACTGGTTCATGATATAGTAGCTTATTAAAAGAATCTGTTGTACCATTGAAAGAAGTGTGGGGTAAAAATGACTTTAAAGTCTGTTTTATAACCAGTCAAACTACAGAGACAGTCATGGATCAGTCCTTATGCTACAGATCTGGTTTACAGGGAATTGGTTGGATTCCATCTCATCTCATAACACATATAGTCTGTCGTCTCTTAAAATTGGTTCTTTGAACATCAGAATCACTAGACGGTCTCAAGAAAGAGAGGTCCTTCAAAGAGGTGGTCTCTTATCAGTAGTTCCTTCACAGAGATGGTCTCTTAACAGAGGAGGTCTCTTATCAGAAGTGCCTTAACAGAGATGGCCTTTTAACAGAGGTGGCCTCTTATCAGAAGTGCCTTAACAGAGATGGCCTCTTAACAGAGGTGGTTTCTTATCAGAAGTGCCTTAACAGAGGTGGCCTCTTATCAGTAGTTCCTTAACAGAGATGGCCTCTTAACAGAGGTGGTTTCTTATCAGAAGTGCCTTAACAGAGATGGCCTTTTAACAGAGGTGGCCTCTTATCAGTAGTTCCTTAACAGAGATGGCCTTTTAACAGAGGTGGCCTCTTATCAAAAGTGCCTTAACAGAGATGGCCTCTTAACAGAGGTGGTTTCTTATCAGAAGTGCCTTAACAGAGATGGCCTTTTAACAGAGGTGGCCTCTTATCAGTAGTTCCTTAACAGAGATGGCCTCTTAACAGAGGTGGTTTCTTATCAGAAGTGCCTTAACAGAGATGGCCTTTTAACAGAGGTGGCCTCTTATCAGAAGTGCCTTAACAGAGATGGCCTCTTAACAGAGGTGGTTTCTTATCAGAAGTGCCTTAACAGAGGTGGCCTCTTATCAGTAGTTCCTTAACAGAGATGGCCTTTTAACAGAGGTGGCATCTTATCAAAAGTGCCTTAACAGAGATGGCCTCTTAACAGAGGTGGTTTCTTATCAGAAGTGCCTTAACAGAGATGGCCTTTTAACAGAGGTGGCCTCTTATCAGTAGTTCCTTAACAGAGATGGCCTCTTAACAGAGGTGGCCTCTTATTAGAAGTGCCTTAACAGAGATGGCCTCTTAACAGAGATGGCCTTTTAACAGAGGTGGTCTCTTATCAGAAGTCCTTCACATAGATGGTCTCTTATCAGTAGTCCCTTCTCAGACATGGTCTCTTAAGAGAGATGGTCTCTTAACAGAGATGGTCTCTTAAGAGAGGTGGTCTTTTATTAGTAATCCCTTCTCAAAGATTGTCTCTTAACAGAGATGGTCCCTTAACAGAGGTGGTCCTTATCAGTGGTACCCTCACAAGGTTTTCTTTTAGCAAAAGTGGTATAATAACAGAAATATTCTCTTAAAAGCATATAAACAAATTGCTGGCATTAGCTGAGTTAGTAAAAACATTGGCTTACACAATCTCAGGTGTAAAGCCAAGGTTTGTGGTTAGATAGTCTCTGTCTGCTGGTTTATGATTCTCAGAAACCTGAGAAACTTCCATTTTGTTCAGCGCTGACATAGGTACGTCCTTGGGCAAAAACCAATAAGCCTTCCATATATTGATCATTGAGTTTTGATTTGCTATTTTTTGACATTAATGTAATATTTTTGAAAATGTTTTGATATTGTTTTTAGTTAATTTACTTAATGTATTTATTTATTTTGACAGGTATGGGAGCTAGAATCAAAAAATCAAATTGTTACCCTGAAAGGTCACACTGGCACAGTGTATGCCTTAGCAGAGTTACAGACGTCATCAGGGACAAAGATATTCAGTGCATCCTACGACCGATCTCTGAGGGTAAGTTCAGTTTAGACTTTGTGCATGTGTTTACCTGTATGAAAAAGAGATGAAAGCAAATGAAATGCATGCACCTTTTTTCAGAGAATATCTTCTTTTTCTTACCTGTATATTGCAATGACTCTACAAAAACACCAGTATACTTGTAATATTCACACTCCTAGTAACATTTAGTAGTGTTTGTCTATATAGCAGATTTAGTTCTGTAAACATGTGGGAGTATTTAACAGTAGGACAGATTTAGTTCTGTGAACATGTGGGAGTATTCACCTGTACAACAGATTTAGTTCTGTAAACATGTGGGAGTATTCACCTGTACAACAGATTTAGTTCTGTAAACATGTGGGAGTAATTTACAGTAGGACAGATTTAGTTCTGTAAACATGTGGGGGTATTTAACAGTAGGACAGATTTAGTTCTGTGAACATGTGGGAGTATTAACCTGTACAACAGATTTAGTTCTGTAAAGATGTGGGAGTATTCACCTGTACAACAGATTTAGTTCTGTAAACATGTGCGAGTATTCACCTGTACAACAGATTTAGTTCTGTAAACATGTGCGAGTATTCACCTGTACAACAGATTTAGTTCTGTAAACATGTGCGAGTATTCACCTGTACAACAGATTTAGTTCTGTAAACATGTGGGAGTATTTAACAGTAGGACAGATTTAGTTCTGTGAACATGTGGGAGTATTCACCTGTACAACAGATTTAGTTCTGTAAAGATGTGGGAGTATTCACCTGTACAACAGATTTAGTTCTGTAAACATGTGGGAGTATTCACCTGTACAACAGATTTAGTTCTGTAAACATGTGCGAGTATTCACCTGTACAACAGATTTAGTTCTGTAAACATGTGGGAGTATTCACCTGTACAACAGATTTAGTTCTGTAAACATGTGGGAGTATTTAACAGTAGGACAGATTTAGTTCTGTGAACATGTGGGAGTATTCACCTGTACAACAGATTTAGTTCTGTAAACATGTGGGAGTATTTAACAGTAGGACAGATTTAGTACTGTAAACATGTGGGAGTATTCACCTGTACAATGGATTTAGTTCTGTAAACATGTGGGAGTATTCACCTGTACAATGGATTTAGTTCTGTAAACATGTGGGAGTTTTAACCTTTACAACAGATTTAGTTCTGTAAACGTGTGAGTATTCACCTGTACAACAGATTTAGTTCTGTAAACATGTGGGAGTATTCACCTGTACAACAGATTTAGTTCTGTAAACATGTGGGAGTAATTTACAGTAGGACAGATTTAGTTCTGTAAACATGTGGGGGTATTTAACAGTAGGACAGATTTAGTTCTGTGAACATGTGGGAGTATTATGTACAACAGATTTAGTTCTGTAAACCTGTGGTATTCACCTGTACAACAGATTTAGTTCTGTAAACATGTGGGAGTATTCACCTGTACAACAGATTTAGTTCTGTAAACATGTGGGAGTATTCACCTGTACAACAGATTTAGTTCTGTAAACATGTGCGAGTATTCACCTGTACAACAGATTTAGTTCTGTAAACATGTGGGAGTATTCACCTGTACAACAGATTTAGTTCTGTAAACATGTGGGAGTATTTAACAGTAGGACAGATTTAGTTCTGTAAACATGTGGGAGTATTCACCTGTACAACAGATTTAGTTCTGTAAACATGTGGGAGTATTCACCTGTACAACAGATTTAGTTCTGTAGAACATGTGGGAGTATTCACCTGTACAACAGATTTAGTTCTGTAAACATGTGGGAGTATTCACCTGTACAACAGATTTAGTTCTGTAAACGTGTGAGTATTCACCTGTACAACAGATTTAGTTCTGTAAACATGTGGGAGTATTTAACAGTAGGACAGATTTAGTTCTGTAAACATGTGGGAGTATTCACCTGTACAACAGATTTAGTTCTGTAAACGTGTGAGTATTCACCTGTACAACAGATTTAGTTCTGTAAACATGTGGGAGTATTTAACAGTAGGACAGATTTAGTTCTGTAAACATGTGGGAGTATTTAACAGTAGGACAGATTTAGTTCTGTAAACATGTGCGAGTATTCACCTGTACAACAGATTTAGTTCTGTAAACATGTGGGAGTATTCACCTGTACAACAGATTTAGTTCTGTAAACATGTGCGAGTATTCACCTGTACAACAGATTTAGTTCTGTAAATATGTGGGAGTATTTAACAGTAGGACAGATTTAGTACTGTAAACATGTGCGTGTATTCACCTGTACAACAGATTTAGTTCTGTGAACATGTGGGAGTATTCACCTGTACAACAGATTTAGTTCTGTAAACATGTGGGAGTATTCACCTGTACAAAAGATTTAGTTCTGTAAACATGTGGGAGTATTTAATAGTAGGACAGATTTAGTACTGTAAACATGTGGGAGTATTCACCTGTACAATGGATTTAGTTCTGTAAACATGTGGGAGTATTCACCTGTACAATGGATTTAGTTCTGTAAACATGTGGGAGTTTTAACCTTTACAACAGATTTAGTTCTGTAAACGTGTGAGTATTCACCTGTACAACAGATTTAGTTCTGTAAACATGTGGGAGTATTCACCTGTACAACAGATTTAGTTCTGTAAACATGTGGGAGTATTCACCTGTACAACAGATTTAGTTCTGTGAACCTGTGGGAGTATTCACCTGTACAACAGATTTAGTTCTGTGAACATGTGGGAGTATTTTACAGTAGGACAGATTTAGTTCTGTAAACATGTGGGAGTATTTAACAGTAGGACAGATTTAGTTCTGTGAACATGTGGGAGTATTCACCTGTACAACAGATTTAGTTCTGTGAACCTGTGGGAGTATTTTACAGTAGGACAGATTTAGTTCTGTAAACAGGTGGGAGTATTTAACAGTAGGACAGATTTAGTTCTGTAAACATGTGGGAGTATTCACCTGTACAACAGATTTAGTTCTGTAAACGTGTGAGTATTCACCTGTACAACAGATTTAGTTCTGTAAACATGTGGGAGTATTTAACAGTAGGACAGATTTAGTTCTGTAAACATGTGGGAGTATTCACCTGTACAACAGATTTAGTTCTGTAGTGTGATTTAGTTCTGTAAACATGTGGGAGTATTCACCTGTACAACAGATTTAGTTCTGTAAACATGTTTGTGTATTAACCTGTACAACAGATTTAGTTCTGTAAACAAGTGGGAGTATTCACCTATACAACAGATTTAGTTCTGTAAACATGTGGGAGTTCTGTATGTGGGAGTATTCACCTGTACAACAGATTTAGTTCTGTAAACATGTGGGAGTATTTAACAGTACAACAGATTTAGTTCTGTAAACATGTGCGAGTATTCACCTGTACAACAGATTTAGTTCTGCAAATATGTGGGAGTATTTAACAGTAGGACAGATTTAGTACTGTAAACATGTGCGAGTATTCACCTGTACAACAGATTTAGTTCTGTGAACATGTGGGAGTATTCACCTGTACAACAGATTTAGTTCTGTAAACATGTGGGAGTATTCACCTGTACAAAAGATTTAGTTCTGTAAACATGTGGGAGTATTTAACAGTAGGACAGATTTAGTACTGTAAACATGTGGGAGTATTCACCTGTACAATGGATTTAGTTCTGTAAACATGTGGGAGTATTCACCTGTACAACAAATTTAGTTCCGTAAACACGTGGGTGTATTAACCTGTACAACAGATTTAGTTCTGTAAACATGTGGGTGTATTAACCTGTACAACAGATTTAGTTCTGTAAACATGTGGGAGTATTCACCTGTACAACAGATTTAGTTCTGTAAACATGTGGGAGTATTCACCTGTACAACAGATTTAGTTCTGTAAACATGTGGGAGTATTTTACAGTAGGACAGATTTAGTTCTGTAAACATGTGGGAGTATTTAACAGTAGGACAGATTTAGTTCTGTAAACATGTGGGAGTATTCACCTGTACAACAGATTTAGTTCTGTAAACATGTGGGAGTATTTTACATTAGGACAGATTTAGTTCTGTAAACATGTGGGAGTATTTAACAGTAGGACAGATTTAGTTCTGTAAACATGTGGGAGTATTCACCTGTACAACAGATTTAGTTCTGTAAACGTGTGAGTATTCACCTGTACAACAGATTTAGTTCTGTAAACATGTGGGAGTATTCACCTGTACAACAAATTTAGTTCTGTAAACACGTGGGTGTATTAACCCGTACAACAGATTTAGTTCTGTAAACATGTGGGTGTATTAACCTGTACAACAGATTTAGTTCTGTAAACATGTGGGAGTATTCACCTGTACAACAGATTTAGTTCTGTAAACATGTGGGAGTATTAAACAGTAGGACAGATTTAGTTCAGTAAACATGTGGGAGTATTAACCTGTACAACAGATTTAGTTCTGTAAACATGTGGGAGTATTCACCTGTACAACAGATTTAGTTCTGTAAACATGTGGGAGTATTTAACAGTAGGACACCTGTAAACTTGTACAACAGATTTAGTTCTGTAAACATGTGGAGTATTCACCTGTACAACAGATTTAGTTCTGTAAACATGTGGGAGTATTAACCTGTACAACAGATTTAGTTCTGTAAACATGTGGGAGTATTCACCTGTACAACAGATTTAGTTCTGTAAACATGTTTGTGTATTAACCTGTACAACAGATTTAGTTCTGTAAACATGTGGGAGTATTCACCTGTACAACAGATTTAGTTCTGTAAACATGTGGGTGTATTAACTTGTACAACAGATTTAGTTCTGTAAACATGTGGAGTATTCACCTGTACAACAGATTTAGTTCTGTAAACATGTGGGAGTATTAACCTGTACAACAGATTTAGTTCTGTAAACATGTGGGAGTATTTTCTTTAGTAAACATGTTTGTGTATTAACCTGTACAACAGATTTAGTTCTGTAAACATGTGGGAGTATTCACCTGTACAACAGATTTAGTTCTGTAAACATGTGGGAGTATTTTACAGTAGAACAGATTTAGTTCTGTAAAC